TTTTTACTTTTTTCTTGAAACAAAGACCTCTGGGCCACTGATCCCATAGGTAATACCAATGTAAGTGACAAGGCAATTACTCCACAAAAGAGCTCCTTAGCAAGAGACCCTGTCTCAATTTTTTGCTTAAGAATCACGGTTATGGATAATTTCTGCAGGTAAAACAAGCAAGTGTTTAACTCTGGCTTTATTAAAAAGTTTTTAGTTGGACTAAAACTTACATGTGCATGTTATTCAAATGCCTAGAAACGCTGTTTTAGCATTTTGAATCATATTACATTCAAATGTCTGTAAAACTTATCTTTTGTTGATTAACACATTTTATCCAGAAGTTACATGCACTGTCCTCGTTTCAGGAGTTATATTCAGGAAGCACATTAAATTTGAACTACGGTTTAGAACTGTAACAGATTGTGTGAATTAAGTAACTTTAAAACTAAAACTTACGATAGTTTCCTACCACATAATGATTACAGATGATAGCCATCCTGGATGTAGTAAGGTAAGAACACATGTCTGTTTTTTGAGCTCGAGTTGTTCCTTTTTACAAGGGTTCTTGGGTACTACAGAATTTGGACAGTTATGAGAAATTATTCATTGCTATTTTATTTGCGGTATTAATATGCTTTAAAGGATTACCACATGGTCATTACTCCTATAGGCATTATTAAAATCATGAAACACCTTTAACTATTTTCTGAGTGTGAGTTAGGTATTTTTAGAATAAATTCAGTCCTTTATATAGCTCTGATACCATTTATTTAAGAAAGGATTGCAGTGGACATTTGACTTTTTTTCCCCCTTGATTCTGGGATTCTTGGTCAGTTGAGAGATAGGAGAGATCTCACAGCAAAATGACAGTATTCCTATTGACTTAGACAATTGGAGGTTCAAGAAGTTAATTTGGATTTTAAGAGACATAGCCTCCCAAGCAGACATATTGAAGGAGGATTAATAAAATGGCCACACCTAGGTTAACGGATTGCTCGTTCTTATCCTCGCCCTTAAAATAGTCAACTGACCTGCCTGATTGCTACTCACAGTTCCAGGCCCATTGTTAAAACTAAAGCTCTTGCTCTTAGTGTTTCTACTTTATTTCCAGTCATTGAAAGTAATAATCACGCTTGGTCTCCAAGTCCTTCTTCAAGGAGATGGTCACAGGACTGTAATCTCACAAAACAGCCTGAATTACCAAGAAGACCACACCTTGAGTGCTTCTGAGATAGAGCGATCTAACTGCTAACTGGTTGCCTGGAGGCATCACGATGCCATTTTGTCTTCTGAGGAGAAAATGATTCTGTTGATTGTTATCGATGCTTTATTGTTTGAGCTACGGCTATATAACCACCCTGCCCCATCCCCAAGGTGGGTTCACAGTTCTGAAGGCAGTAGCCTGCAGCAAAGCAATAAGATTGCCTCTTTTCTTCTAAGCTCCAAGACCTTGTCTCTGAGTTGTCTGTCTCCTCAGGGGTGGGGGCGGATCTTTTGGCAACAATACCCAGTTATAAATATATAAAGCTAAACAATGGTAAAATATGTAGATTAAAAGAAACAAGGGTAAGAGAAATATTACTAGCAAGTCAAGTGCTGAGGAAGAAGAAAAGAGTTATTTGATCACAATGTTTTACAAAACTACTAGAACCTCAAATTTAGTTCCAGGATTCCTTTCAGCCAAACTGAAGAATAAAAACAAAGTAAATTACAAAGAAGGAATATAAATCAGTTTTTCCATGGAAATAAAGATTTTTGCCTGACGTTAACATTTTTCAATATTTTTATTGGTAAATAGAATATGTATACAGAAAAGTATACAAAACAACATGTTCAGCTCAATGACTTGTCACACAATCAACAACTTGAACAAGACAATGAACAAAGCCAACACATCAGATACTTCCCCTCTCTTAGCTTCTAATCACTGCCCCTTCTCTCCTCCCCAAAAGTAACCATTATCCTGACTTTTCCGATAATCGCTTCCTTGATTGTTCTCTGTAACTTTTATCACTTAAGCTTACATCGCTGTACAATGTAGTTTAATTTTGCCTCTTGGAGTTTATGTAAATGGAATTATATCGTGTTCTTAGGGAGGGAGGGGTGGGAACCTGGCTTCTTTTACTCAAGTTTACATTTATGAGATTTTTTCCTAGTTGTTGCAAGGAGCTGCGGTTTTTCATTTTCATTACTACGTAGCATTTTGTTGACCAAATATAGCTCGATCTATTTACCCACTCTACTGTTGAAGGATATCTGGTCTGCTTCCAGTTTGGAGTAATTTTGAGTTTAACTGCTAAATGTATTTTTATAAAATGTATCTTGATGCACAAGTCCATGCATTTCCATTGGTTATAGTCCTAGGTGGATAGCTAGATCAAAATCCATTTTCCAAATTGTTATGAAAGGGAGCAGGACCCCTGTGGGCCTCCCTCACCCAAGCCTCTTGTTTATAGATAAGCTGAAGTCTCCAGGCCTCCCTGAGTCAGAGAAGAGCAGGCTCAAGCAGGTGATTAGGACCAGCCTGCAGGCATGGGGGGATGGCAAGGACTCTGACCACCTATCTCAATGATTAACCAAGATTATTCCTTCATTTTCCTATAAAATGTTCATGGCTGAACAGAATCTTTGGAGATGTTTTTTTGGGTGGGATGCTAGGTCCACTGGATTGTAGGTATTTTGGTTAAAAGTAACTTTCTTTTCGTTACCAAGCCTGTTGCCGCCAGGATCACACCCCTGCCCTTCCCTCGGCTAGAAACCAGTTACTTTTATGTAAGTCTCAGGAGGCAGCTGCAGAGAAGAAACAAAAACTGGTTAGAACCCCCAGGGGCCAAGATGATGGAGGATTTGACTTCCAGTGGACCTTGAGCCTCACTATATGCTCATTATAAAACATTAGCATGTTAAGTGACACATCCACCAGTGCCAGGACAGTTCACAATTGCCATGACAACAACCAGAAAAGGCCATATAAGGACTGAAAAGCTCGAACAAGGACTGACTGGCTCCATCACACCTGGAAGGAGGACATGATGACAAAAGCTTCTCCAGGTGTCTCTCCCAGGCCTCTTGGCTGACAGCAACCCATTCAAGTACCTCTTCCTCCCTCGAATGCTTCTCTTCCCTTCTCCCTGCTCAAGCCCTTTCTTCCAATTCCCCTTCTCAGCAATAAAAGGGCTGTTCACTTTGTCCCTCTGCCTCTGTGCGAATTCTTTCACAGCAAGCAGCAAGGACCCACACTTTGGCTGGCTTCCTAACTTAGGGGTCTCTCCATCGGCTAACAGTTGTACCAAGTTATACCCTCACCAGCCGAATGTCAGCGTTCCCACCGCTGGGGCCTCTGGCTCTGGGTCTCTCTCACAGGCTGCAACCCACAGCTGTGTTGGCTGTGGCTGTGGTCTCAATTCTCTTTTACTTCCTTGATACCCCTATTGCCAATCTTTTTAATTTTAGCCGTTCTGATGGGTGTAAGAGGAGTGTGATATTGTGATTTTAATTTTCATTTTCCTCATTACAAATGAAGTTGAGCACCTTTATGCAAATTCATTGATCCTTTTGATTTTCTTTTGGAGAGCCTGCTAAAGCATCTGACCTGTTTTTCTTAATGGTGGTCATTTCCTTAGTGATTTATATCCATTCTTCATACATTTTATATATGGGGCCCTTAATTTTGCGTATTGTAAAAATCTTCCCCCAATCTGTGCCTTGACTTTCATTTTCTTTAATGTTGTCCTTAGACAGAAGTTCTCAAGTTATCAATTTAATATAGTCAAACTTGTAATTATTTTCTTTATAGTTACTGACCTTTCTGTTCAACTTACTTTTCATTCGCTGTAATGAAGACAATTTATATTATCTCATAGAATGCATTTTATCTTTCACAATTCAGTATACAGACCATTTGTACTTGATTTCAGGGTACAATTTGAGGTAGAGATAGTTTCTTTAACCACGTGTATATCAAATTGACTAAGCACTATTTATTACCAGTCATTTTCCCACTGCTCAAGAGGGTCATCTTTGTCTTAAATCAACGGTACATTTATGTAGATGTTCGTTTCTGAGCTATTTATTCTGCTTCTTTCATCTGTTTATCTTTTCACTATTGCCACACTCTCTTTACTACTCGGTAGATAACCAACTTCATTATTCTTCACTAGATCTTCAAGAGTTTCTTGGATATATTTACCCCTTTGCATTTCATGTTCATTTTTAAATAAACTTGTCATATTTTACACACACACACACACACACACCCCTACTGCGATTGTGAATGGATTCGCATTGAATCTATAGATCAATTTGGGAAGAACAGACATGGTAACAATCTTGAATCGTGCAACCTATGAACATTGTATAATCCTCCATTTATTTAGGTCTTCAGTTTCTTTAAAAAAAATTTCGCAATTCCCTCTGTAGAGGAGTTGCAATCAATTTATTCTTACTCAACTGGTATCTTGTATGCTATCACGAATCGTATTTCTTTAAAACGTCAATGTTGTTTGTTACCTACTGAAACACGATTGGTCTTCGAATATTGACTCTGTACCAGCAACTGCTAATTTATGAATTAACTCCTCCTACACTTTTTAAACTTTTTCTATGAGCATATCTCCTATGAGAGAAGTTTTGTCTTCCTTCCTAATCTATACCTTTTATTACCTCTTCTTGAAAACACCAAACCCCACAAGATTCTGAATGTCATTAACGTGTAATTCTAGTTTTAAATTCAGTCAAAAGATGCCCGTGAAGTCGAGAAGTCGAGACTCTTCCCGCCTCCCAGGCTCTCACTCTCAGTCGCGGCGGCCACACAGCCCCGCCTCACAATCGCTCCCATCCGGCGCTCAGTCGGAGCCGACCGCAGCCGGCTGGGACGCGGGCTCCGGAAGCGCGCCGCCGGCATCCTGGCCGCCCCGCCCCTCGCCCGGATGCAGCCAATCAGCGCCCCCCTCCTACGAGCATCCCACCGGCCAAAATGGCGGC